GGGGGGCCGGGGGCCGAGGGTAGTGGTGCTGCCCAGCCTCGCTTCTACAGGCGCTGGCGCAGGGTCTGCCCACAGTCACACGCTCCTTGCTCGGGCGTCAGAGCAGCGGGGGGGCGTGAATGAGGCTGGAAACAAGCAAGCCAGGCAGGGCCAGGGGAGGCCGGAGCCGGGGGAGGGGGGCGCGCAGGGTCTGCCCACAGTCACACGCTCCTTGCTCGGGCGTCAGAGCAGCGGGGGGGCGTGAATGAGGCTGGAAACAAGCGAGCCAGGCAGGCCCAGGGGAGGCCGGAGCCGGAGGAGGGAGCTGGCTCTTTGACAGCCGCTCTGGCCCAGTCTCTGAATCTTTCCCCTCTCCAAGGCCCCAGCTGCCTCTGATCGCGGCCTCCGAGGTTTTCCCTGCAGCCCATCCCCCAGCGCCTTTGGCAGTCAGCCTGGGGGGAGGGGGGTTCCCCAGCCCTGCGCCGTGGCCAGCACCTGCCCTGCCAGGGCTGGGTGCGAGGAGAGCCGTGCTGCTCCTCTGTGCCTGGGCGCCCCCCGGCGCGAGGGAAGCAGGGGGCAGCCGCTCTGGGCCCATAAGAGCTGGCTGGAGGAGAGGGGTCCAGGCAGTCCTGAGCCGTGCTCCCGCCGTTCTGTCAGCCCAGGGGGGAGGGAAGAGGCCGGTGTCGGGAGAAGGGGGCAGGTTGGGCTGGTCCCGTGGGTGGGAGGACGTGGCAGAGCCGGCCTGAGCCGTGTCCCCGTTCGTGTCCTTGCAGAGGGCGATGAGACCGGGGTGATGGACAGCCTGCTGGAGGCCCTGCAGTCAGGAGCAGCGTTCCGGAGGAAGAGAGGCCCGCGCCAGGGTAAGTTGGGGTCGGCTGGGCCCGTTACCCTTCCTTCAGCAGTGACCGGAGGCGCGTGCGGCCCCCGTCCCAGGCGCTGATCCGAACGGTTCGCCAGAGACGCTGGGTGCTGCTCCTTGCACGCCGCGCCTGCTCGCTCCAGGGACCCGCCGGCCGCTTGACCCCGGTGGCCTGGAGCTCCGCTGGGGGCAGAAGGGAGGAACGCGTGGGCCAGACGCTCTGGCGAGCTGCTGCGGGGGCCAGGCCCGAGGAGCACGGCCCCGGGCCAGCGGGTGGAGAGGAGGCGGCTGATGCCGTGAATGGGAGGAGAGCGCGCGCATGTTGGTGTCCTGCGCAGGGGGATACAGAGGCCATGGGAAGCAGATTCAGACCAGCTGGGCTGGCAGAGAATCGTCTGGGGCTCGCCTGTAGCGGGGCAGCTGTAGAGCAGAGCTAGTTAGGGAGGGTCGAGTGCTTGCTCACGTCCAGGCCACGTTGGGGGGCCGGGCCCCTCTCCCTCGGCAGGATCCGTAGGGGCAGCTCGTGGAGCGGTGCCCTCGTGGTGCAGTATGAGGGAGGCCGCATGCTCCCCGCCCCCGGGCTGCTCCAGCGTTGCTCGGCCTTCCTTCAGGAGCTCGAGCTTCCCCCCACGCCGGCGTTCGCTCCACGCTGACCACTTGTCCGCCAGAGGGGACCACAGACGCTGGGGTCAGCCCCACCTGGCAGATCTTGGCTGCCAGGGACCAGCTGTTCCGGATACAGACCAGTGCTCCGTGTCGGCAGCTCAGCCTCCCAGGCGCTCGGTGCTGCCTGTGTCTTTGGCTGCAAAGTGGCTGGCCCCGTGGCATGCCTGGATCCCGGGGGGTTTCGCTCAGCGTCAGGTGTTTTAGGTGGGCCGGTGGCCTCAGCGTCTCATCCCTCTCCAGTGCCTGCAGCCTCGGGGGAGAAGACCCCCAGATCCCTGTGGGCAAAGGATCAAACCATTGAACCATCCGCGAGCATTGTGGGCCCTCTGTGCCGTGCTGGCGGAGGCGATCACAGGGACCCCTCCCCCGTTCCTCAGGGTGGCTTCAAGGCACGCGAGGAACTTCTGAAGAGGGTCGCCCCCGCGCGTGGG